ATTAGGGCCGCCCCTTCTTCAATATTCGTTGGCGGCTTCGACCGAAAAACGAGCCCAAAAAGAACATTTAAAGAACCTTACAATCGTAATCGCGGAATGAGCAGGGTGAGAGACTGCCTGCGTTTAGCTGTTGACCAACCATTAGTTAACAATCTTAGAGGCCCTCTTCGCCTACGATGGGCTTCTGAGTCCGCTAGGGGCAGTATGACAGGATAGATGCCATCATATTCAATCCGAGGTTCCAAAGTTCAATATGGGATCGGATCACCGTCTTGTTCCTGTTTTCCTCTTTTCGACACATGGAGAAAGAGCCGTTGGTTTCTGTGAAGCCAAAACGAAGATAATATGGCGCGAACAGTGCCAGCATTTCTGCAACAAGAGGTACAAGAAGGAGTCTCCGCTAAACGAGCGCGGATGCTTTACCAGCTACAAGATGAAGATGACCTGCCTCCAACGTGGGTGGAACAGCCACTGCATTCCGAAAGGTATCAAAAAAAGTAATCCACGACCTCTACTTCGATAGCCATGTCCTGCCGTCTGCCACCACTTCATTTGAAACAATATTTGTTACTCCTTCACTCTCCCTTCCGAAGCGCTACACACCATCCTGTCGTTTAGTAAATAGAAAGAATAGAATAGGAATAGGAATAAGAAAAGAAAAGAATAAGAATAGTACAGCACTCGAATACGAGAGGGCCACACCGGAACAGCAGAGCAATTCACCGCCAAATGCCGTCAGATCGCTGGCTCGACTATTAACGCGCTACCTTTTGATGCAAGAAATGGCGATTATCGCTCAATCTGCCCGCTGTCTGTAGTCTTGCCTGAAAGCCTCTTCTTTCTTCGTTCGGAGCGAGATTTTCAGAAAACTGAAGAAATAAGACCCATGGCAGCAAGTACGTTTCGAAGAGGTTTAGCGCAGTTGATCATATTCTACCCGTCACGAGCTCGTAAAGTGTCACAATAGTACATAGACCACTACGTCTCTCATTTATCGGAATAAAAGCGTTCGACTCTGTGGAGACAGAACGGAGCGTCGAATCCAGAATGGAGCATCGCTTCAGGGTAATTTCTAGGCACATAGGGATAGATTCTTCGTGGGTTCCACAAGAAATGGACGGCTTATGCTATAATTCTTTGGAATATTTAGTGTCGGTTCAAAAGGGGATAAAAGGAACAATTCTTGGCACAGACTTTTGCTCAGCTCGCCAGGGAACGTTAATGCGGGGATGAATGGGGTAGAGGCGACGGTAAACACTAAAGGAGGCGTTCAGGGAACTGTGCTTTTTTCAAAACAGGGTAATGGTATGATTTAGGGGGGGCGGGAACTTGTGGATAGACATGAAAGAAAGCGACCATTGCATTTCGAGTTTGATGTAGAATAATGTATGCTATACGAAGTTATTACAAAAGGGCAATTTTGATTATTGTAAGGTCCGGGATGAGTGAGGTTGTTTCGAATCAATACAGTGGCAAGCTGAGTCAGCAAGTTGGAGAAAGCAAGAGCTGAGATGGATTCTACTGATTACAGCGCGACGACGTCACGGAGGCGGTGCGCAGTGGAAGCCGATGCGGACGGTATTGGAGAGGATCGACGACCCGCCGGACGGCTGCTCCGTCCCCCCCTCGGACCCACCGCTTCGCAGCCCGACGCTGCCTTCGTCGTACTGTGTCAGTATTCTGCCCTGGTTAATAAACGGTGAATGTTCTGTATTCGGTGCTAATGAAGGAAGAGGAAGACACCACCAAAACTACACTGGTAGCAGCGAGCAAGGGGCGGAGCTGCAATTTCGAGGTTAGTTGTTTTTTTCTTCTTGATTTTTTTCCTTCTCTTAGTCATCCTGCAATTTTTTTTCTTGACTCACCCGCTCGTTCTGGCTCTTCTGAGCAACCTAATAAACCCACAATTTCTTTTTCACATGGTTCTCAGAGGGTAGCCGATTAAGCCAGCATTGTTTTGCCTCATTTTTCGGGGTTTGATTTAGCACTCTGGGCTGAGTTGGGAAAATTTCTAAGTAAACTAAAGTAAGTAACTATACCCATATATACATATACTCATATATGCCATTTGTCTTCTTCTCCTAATACTGGCTCTGCTCCGCAAGCCTGGCCAGCTTGTGTGTCTCAGAGCCAGCCGTCCCATCGGGCCATCTTGATTCTCTCCGTCGACGCATTCCTTAGTTCCTTCTTGTGCGTTTTTTTCTGTGGACGTCCCTTCTTTAACCTCTTCTTCTCAGTTTCTGTATTTTCCTTTCTTTTCTTTTCCGTTTATGGTATCGGGGCTACCTCTTGACCTTTTGGTCAGCCACTCAACATCAAGTTTGGCTAGCCCTTGTGCCACTGTAGTATAAGACTTCTGATGCGATCGCCACTCACGCGTTGGTTAGTGTGTACACAAAAGGGGAGGAGATTCCCCGTAGCTCCAAGCGCATGGTATTTCAGCGATAGAGTCACTCCCCGGGTTGAGGTAAGGATTAAGCTCAGCAAAATATCCTGTTCCGGACAGTAGCAAGTATTGGAGGTTTTGGGCGCAATATGAGCGCCATCCGATCGGACCAGAGTCAGGTATAGCGACAGATCCGCTACCATTACCCCGTATGACGACGGGTTTTCTCCATAGAGGTAGTTGTGTTAGTTCAGTTCGGCGGGCGCCACCGAACTGTCGCATGATAGATAGCCATATAAAACATAACGCTTTCAGTAAGCCATTTATCCAGGAATTCCTTTAAGCGTGTCCCTAAGTCTTGGCCCAAAGTTACCGCGTTCTTCGTTAGCCAGCATCGCGATAGAGGGTCCCAGACCCGCAGGTTTTCACTAGCCGCTCCGTACTTTTCTACTTTTCCGTACGCTTCTGGTGACGCCGGTCTTCTATTCGTTGAGAGGCTCAACAGCTACAGTATCCTCTTAGCGTCTCAACGCTCATATCTCCAGTTTTATCTATCCCCGCTAATCCCACAACAGCCTTCCAGCCTAGCATTCCTTTGCTTCGCTCTCATAACATTTCTCCACCATCATATCACTCACTTCTATCTTAGCTTATTCAGCCTCCCACTCATAACATCTTCCTCCTATCTACATTCTTTATCAGTACAGTAGCTCATCGCTGGCATTCCAAATGATCCCACGCCGCCGTCAAGTATAAAAGCCTGTTGCCCATAGCTCAGCTATCCACTACTGTTATTGCATCATGCCTATTACTCGCAGCATGTCCCAGGCCCAGGCCCCCTCTATCACTGGGGCTTCTGCCCAACTTCTCAACACCAAAACGCCAAAACAGGAAGGCCTCACAGGTCCTTCTTTTTCCATCTTTGACGACATCTCGGATGAGGCCCCTCTTCATGGGCGGGATGCTAAAATGATTCGAGATGTGACACAGTCGGCTTTGACCCGGGTATGGAATGACACGTGCGCTTCAGCGGCCCTACTAACTCGTAAAATTAATGAGAGCAACGAGGCTCTTAAGGAAAAACTCAACGAGTCTTTCGAAGCCGTAGGCAAGCGCTTGGATAGTCTTCCATCTGTGGCCATGTTCCACCCCGAGCTACAGTCCAGGGTCGTCCCCTTTTCTGGGCCTGCGGAAAACGGTATTCAATTTTCGATATGGCTGCGCCGCTTAGAAGACATCATGCGCATGAGACCGACACCGATGTCTGAGGAACAACAGGCGAATTTTCTCATCGGCCATCTCGACGGCGTGGCCCGCGAGAAGGTCGAAGAACTGGATGATCAGGCAAGGAAACTTTACCCAGCAATCGTGACCCACTTGACCGCTTTTTTCGAGAGCCCGCACCAGCGCTATGTGGCGCGTCAGCAACTGTCTACTTGTCGCCAGGAGCCAGGCGAGTCGTGCACCTCTTTCGCCAACCGCGTTCTCAATCTGGTGCGCGCCGCTACTTCGGGTCAGGACCAGGCTACGCAGAAGGAGCGAACTCTCGAAGAGTTTGTGTCCCGTTTGCGGGGTGACATTCGCTATTTTGTTAAGTTGGACGGACCCACTACGTTTGAGCAAGCCGTTAACAAAGCTCAAACCGTTGAGCAGCTGTTAGGTGAGGCTACCGCAGATCGCCTTCTCCATCCCACAGCCCCTCCAGCTCCCGTACAGGTGCTCGCTCGGTCGGGTCGTGGTCGCGACTCTCGCCCTTCTCCCCCGGCGCGCAAGTGGAATAGGCCTCGCTCGGCTGCACCGGCTGTTCGCGACGACCATCAACGGCACGGTGGGCCGGGTGCCCCAAACTCCTTTGATGTTCGCTGCTTCAATTGTAGCGGTTTGGGTCATTTTGCCGCCAATTGCCCATCTCCACGACGACATGGGCCTCCAGCTCCACAAGCTCCTAGTCGTGGTCGTTTGCGCGGTGGGTATTCCTCTACTCTCCCACGAGCCTCTCTCCTCTCAGTGCCCGCATCTCCACCTTCCGACATCACGCCGCAACTCGGTCCAGCGGTTTCTTCGGTAGCGGCCCTGTCAGCATCGCTTAAAGAATCACAAGACCAGCTCCAACAATCCCAGGCCCGCGTTTCAGCTCTCCTGCGTCGCAACGAGGAACTAGCCCAGGCTTCCCTGGTCGCCAGACCGCAATCTCCAGATGCTCCGTCAACTTCATCTTCATCCCTCCCGAACGTCCGCTTGCTGCTATGTGTCACCCTCTTTCTCTCTTCAATGGGGGGCACCGAATCCACTCAGCACGCTTGGCTGTGTCCTTATGAGAACCCAGCGACGCTCTTTCTGTTGCCAAACGCACCAAACTGCTCTGCTTTGTGGCCCACTTCCTTGACTGATCCCGTCAAGACTTCAGTACGTCTTTACCGACCCAATACGCGGTTGTACGCCACGCCAGCGTTCTTGTGCAGGATCATCCGCCAGTCCGTCGTGTATTCGGTAGGATTTTTCGGATCTCGGCAGGAGACCCATTTCGAGTCGCACTTGGCCGTTCCGACAGAGGAATGCCGTAGGATGACAGCTCATCATCGTTGCCTTCACGGTGATTTAGTTGAATCCCAGGGAGTGTGGCACACACAGAACTCCTTATCGTTCACCTTCCCGTCCGCCCCATTTGGATGTTGCAGCAACCATTCAGCACAGGTCACTAACTGTTTTTTCTATCCCACTACGGTGCACTCTCGGCATTCGGATTCTTCACCCCAAACTCCAGTAGGCGATGCATCTGCGTGCTCCTACAAGGAGGGCTCCTGTTCAATGGCTGATGGCTCCGTACTTATCTGGTCTCCCGACAAAGAGGAACAATGCGCTTATGTTTTCGTTAAACGCATGATAGGACACGTCGTCGGTAATATCTGGCTAAGCGCCGACAAGGAATTCGCGCTCTCTTGGGACAATCAGTCGTCAGTCGTCACGGATTGTGCTAGGCAGCTCACGATTACAGATCAAGGCTATGCAGTAGAGGTATCTCGCCGACAACCGCGCAGTTCCTCTGATGCCGGTATGGTCACATCAAATCAGTTAGCGGCTCAATTGTTAGCAGTAGAGGGTGCAACCTACACTTCCGTGAGCGCACTCTTTCGCAATGCGCTGCAAGTCATATGCGACAGGACCAATACCCTATCTATAGCCCTCCATACGGCCCTGTCCACTCACCCTACTTCGACGATGCGTGCACTGCTCAATCGGCACGACATCGCAGCAACATACTTGGGTGGTGGTTACGTCCAGGTGCGGCGATGCGTCTATTTGCCCTCTACCGCCCTGCGTTTCACAACTTTCAACCGCACCTGTTATGACCGCCCACGGGTCGAACTCAAACTACCTAGCGGCAGTCGCCTGCACGCTTTTCTAGACCCCGCTACAGGCGTTATTCAGAAACATGCGACCCCAATACCGTGTTCGGAGTCTACCCCTTTCCTTTTCCCCTCTCCTACAGGTGTTCGTCGATTTGCCCCGCTACAGGGTCTATGGTCCACGCTACTTCCACAAGAAGTTACTAGAATTCCATCCTCCATGCACCCTTCCACTCTTCAGTTAGCCCCTCCTCTTACTGTTTTCCATAATTTGATCTTAACCAATTTTAGTGAGATCGCAGATGACCACCAACTGCAGGAGATTTGGATAGCTAAGGACCATGCACGAATCCTGGAACACTTCGAGAGCGACTCTTCCTCGTCCGGCACCACGTCATCGACTTCAACAACCGCGGCTAGTTTCCTACCTTCTTTTTTACCTTGGTCTTTTTCCGTTTTCGATTTTTGGGTTACTTTTTGCTGCATTCTGGTTTCACTTTCTTTTATCAAATCTTTATTTTGCCTATATATTCAGTTACAATCCCCTAGGTGGCTACCCCCCACTCCGTGCACAATTTTAGCTTCCTCTCGGGCATTTTCGCGCAACCCTCCTGCGCAGCGCCCTCTTGCGGCCATAGAACTTCCAGACCGGCAGGACCTACCCGCTCTTGATATTTCTCATATTGACATCGACACGGCAACAACGTGGCCTCCTCGAGCCGCGGTAGTTCCTACAGCAGTTCTCTCTCTGGACGGCTCGCAGTCATATTTCATCGCCCAGGTACCCATACAAGCCAACGGGATCTACATGCTAGCCCTTGTCGATACCGGCGCCGGGGTAACCGTTGCCAGCCAGTCTTTGCTTCCTCTGCTGGGTGTTTTCCACATGGACCCATCCCGCGTACCTGCAGCGGTTGGGATGGCTGGCATTCCCGTGAGATTTGTGGGCTGTGCCATGGTTTCTCTTCATATCGGAAACCTAACCTTTACCCACCTCGTGCACTTTACAGAAGGCAACTGTATTCCACGTGCAGCGGACGCATACAACATCATCTTGGGCAACGACTTTCTCCAGCGCCTCCCGCCGTGGACGCTTGATTATGCTCAGCGACTTTTGTTCCTTGGTAACGCCACTGTTCCCGTCATCACGGCTGGTCAACCATGCCATGGTGTAGCTCCCCCAACGGTCCCTATGTCAGTTCATGCCGCGACCACTGTGGTCGTACCTCCCGCTACCGAAATCATGGTACCATGTTATGTTGTCGATGCTCGCAGCGAATACTCATTCATCTTATACGATGGAGCCGTTCTCGCACCCGAAGGGATCATGGTGGCACCAGCAGTTTCCCGTGTCAGCCACCCACAGTTGTTTCTCAGTAACCCAACAGATTCACCTAAGGTCATCTATAAAGGGCAACGTCTCACGTCGGCTAGAGCGGTGTTCGAACTACCCAACGGGACACTGGCGGACTTCCCACAATGCTTTTAGCACATCCCTTACATCTACTCCCTCCTCGGGGCAGGCAGATCTCCCTCCTCTGGCACTAGATCTATCGGGTGCCAACGTATCGGATGAGCAACGTCGTCAACTTTCCGCTCTTTTTCTAGAGTTCCAAGATCGCATTTCGACATCGTCGTACGATTTGGGATCCTATGAACATACCCAAATATCTATCAAAACGACAACGGAAGTACCACCATCACGTTATCGTCCAACGAGGATCCCGGCCCGTTTTCAAAAGGAGCTGGACGAACACATAAACAAACTACTGGCATCCGGGCGAATAGTTGAGAGCGACACCCCTTGGCTACATAACACGGTTCTGGTGAAGAAGAAGGACGGTTCTCTTCGTGTATGCTTGGACTTCCGTCCGTTGAACGATATTACAATCCCAGACCGTTACCCTCTTCCACGCATAGAAGACCTCCTCACGCGCGTCGCAGGCAAGAAATATTACACGTCTTTCGACCTCGCATCGGGATACATGCAACTCCTTCTCTCGCCGGAAAGCCAGGCTAAATGCGGCTGGGCCACACATCGCGGCATCTATCAGTTCGTTTATCTCCCTTTCGGACTTCGCAATGCCGGGGCGTACTTTTGCAGGGCTATGTCCCGCATCTTGGCCGGCCTAGACGACAACTGTCTAGCATATTTAGACGACATTATCATCTTCGACAACGATTTTGACTCGCACCTAACATCCATACGTAAGGTACTCGAAAGGTTCCGGATTTTCAATATCAAGGTTTCCGGTAAAAAACTCACAAGTATAGCTCAGTCCAAGATCACGTTTCTCGGACATGAGATTTCGGGCACATCCTATTCTCCTGCGGAACGGAACCTACGTGCCATTCGCGACATGCCAGCCCCAAAGTCGGTCAAGGCGGTAAAAGGATTTCTGGGCATGGCCAACTTCTTTCGCAAATTCGTTAAGAACTTCGCAACGATTGCTGCTCCGTTGTACGCCTTGTGCAAGGACAAGGTTCCTTTTGAATGGGGAGAGCCTCAAGCTCAGGCATTCTCTCGTCTCAAGGAGGTACTAGTGAGCCGCCCCTGCCTTGGTTTTCCCCAGGACAAAGAGTTCCTGCTCCACACGGATGGCAGCAAGACAGCAGTGGGAGCTGCCCTTCTCCAAGTCCAAGATGCGGCATTACCTCCAGTTGCTATCGGATATTTCAGCAAGGCGCTGTCTCCTGCTCAGCAAAAGTGGAGCCCAACACACATAGAACTTTTCGCCATGATTAGCGCTTTGCGGTTTTTTCGAGCAACTATTTACGGCAACCATACAAGAATTCTGTGCGACCATCAACCTCTGGCATTCCTTCTGAGACACCGAAAACCGCATGACAACCTCGCACGATGGGTCGTGGAGTTGCAAAGCTTCGATATCAGCATCGAGTATCATAAGGGCTCGTCCAATGTGGTTGCAGATCAGTTGAGTCGCAGCGCTGATCCGAACAACAGGTTCCTCGATGACTCCCCGGAGACGGACGACATTGTGGATTTTCCCCGGTGTCTTCTCAATCATGTCATGCCATCTCCAAACGACTTACGGTTACTACCACCTATTTACATCCGCCCATATGACGCTCTTTTAGCTCAAAAGCAAGATCCCTTTTGTAGCACACTGATGCACTTCTTGGAAACCGGTTCCTTCCCGTCAGACGCGCCAGCGGACCTACTCAAGATCTGTTCAGCATATCTCGACCAATGCGTTCTCAAGAAGAACGGATGTCTATATTACGTCGGCCCCAACTCCTCCCGCAGGCCCGCCATCGTCGTTCCGCAAAAGTTGCGCGAACCCGTCTGCATCGCCCTACATGAGAGCGCCACGGCCGGAGGACACTTCAACTGGAAAAAGACCTTATCCAAAATTTCCCGCCGCTTCTTTTGGCCTTCAATGCGCGAGGATGTCTTCAAATTCGTTCGTTCTTGCGACGCATGCCAGCGCAAGCGGCCCCACCCACAGACGCGGGAACGACTAATCCCTATCCACGCAGGGGCTATCTTTGACAAGGTGTTTGTGGACCTCAGCGGACCCTACCACCCAACTCCGCGGAACAATAAGTACATCCTGTGCCTCGTTGACCATTTCAGTAAGTTCGTCATCACAGCGGCCCTTCCAGACTGTACGGCTGTGACAGTGGCACATGCCATTATGACTCGGGCTGTCCTAGTTTTCGGGGCCATGACCGAATTGGTTTCCGACAACGCCTCCTACCTTAAAGGCGACCTTCTGTCGGAGCTGGGCCGCCTCATGCGTATCGGGCGCTACTTTACCACACCGTACCATCACGAAGGGAATGGCGCCTGCGAACGAATGTTTGAAACCTTCCAAGAAATGCTACGCACATACATCGACGATAGCCAGGACAATTGGGACGTCTTCTTACCGGCTTGCACATTCTCCTATAACACGTCGGTCCACAGCAGCACCAACGAAACTCCCTTTTTCTCATGTTCGGGCGGGATCCCATCTTCAACATCGATCTCCTCATCCGCCACAAACTTGAAGGCCACCTACCCTCGAGCGAGGACAGTAGTATCTATAAGGAATCCTTGATAACTACTCTGCATTCAGCATGGACCGCCGCTACTAAGCACAATGAGAAGCGCAGCGCCGCAATGAAGCGAACGTATGATCAGAGTCGATTGCCTCCCAGCGGCTATCAAAGTAGGTGACCGGGTGTATCTTCGCGACCTCACCCCCAAACCAGGTTTATCACCTAAACTATGTAATTCATGGCTAGGCCAATTTCAGAGTGATCGAGGTCGACCATCCTCACCTCACCATCGTCAGTATAGCCGCACCGCAGTCTAAGCCTAGACGGGTACATCTTAACCAGGTCAAAAAATGTTTCGAATTATCAGGGCCAGTCTTCACTTCCCCGTGGCTCCCGCAAAAAGACCAAGATGGGCTCACTCAGCTCAACGCCACAACGGTAGCAGTAGTGGGATATGATCACACGGCATTGAAAATAGATGGAGCAAAGTCACCCTCAGTTAACAAGCCTACACATTCTTATAACACACGTTTCAGGTCTCGCCTTCAGTCGTGCTGAGGATACGGCTCGTCGCAGATTACCCGTCCCCTTCCACCATTTTTTTCCTTGCCCTATTTTTCTCGTCTATTTTGGAACTTCTCAATCCGTTCCTTCGCTCCTTCCTCTGCTGGCACATATTTCGCTCGAACGTTACTTGGTTTTGGTCGGGTTTCGCACCGTTCGTAATATCCGCGTAATCTATAGGCCTACACTCCCATCCTCATTTTGGGTATTTTCAGTTAAGTGTCCCCAATGGACGCTCCATCTGTACGTTCGAGTATGCCCGCGGACAAGCCCTCTGTCCCCTCCTCAACAGCGGCGCCTGAGGGAAGCGTCCCACTGAGCGATCTTCGGGCTTCTGCCCAACCGACTAACCCTTCGACAGGCATAAACGAGGGTAAGCCCTTTCATGTACGCGATTACCCCAAGCCTGGTATTGGTAGAAGCTTCCGTTTAGGTATCACAACAGGAGACACCGACACGCCATCATCGGTATCTGTCCCACCAACTTCTCCTGTACGGGCTTCTGCCCAACCGATTTATCTTTCTACTACTAACATCCCTTCGTCGGGTACTCACATCGCTTCTCCAGGCGATTCTTCTGACGTAACAGCAGCCGATCCAGCCCCCGACCTGGGACGTTTATCGCTTCGTCCCCAGACGGTACATTCTTCTCCAGAGCCGGTCGTCCAGCATCCATCACGTTCGGAACCGTCTCGTGTCCGTTCTCACGAGGAAGCCTTTTCTCGTTTCCGCGACGCTACGTCCGCAGCCAGCTCGGCAGTTTCTTCGAAGAGAGTACGAGCCGATGTCAACGTGCCGACGGCACCCAGGGGAATACAAATTCATCCAGCACATTCCCCCGAATGGGAGGATACACCTCGCGGCTATACCAACGAGTTTGCACATCTACATCCGTGGGGTCGTTTCGTGGAGCCGAGACCACCTGTACCAGCCATCACCGAAGAGTCTGTCACTAGTATTCTTCCTCTGCACGTCTACCGGCAGATTCCCCAAGATGGATATTTCGCTTCTCGTTTTGTGCGGTCATTGTTCCCAAGACGTTTCCGCGGTACACCGTCACCGTCGAATCCCTTACCAATCCTGGAGATACCCCGCCTGCGAGATATCATTGCCTTCAGGCAACAAGCCGTACAACTCACGACGGCTCTCCTTGCCGACACCTATGAGAGCGATCAAGAGGCGATTCGTCAACTGCCTCTCACTCCGGGCGGCGATGTACCGACGCGCCTTTGTCCACCCACTCGAAACGGTATCCGACCCGTACTCTACCAAGTCGTTCACCGCAGTTATGGACAAGGCGCCATCGTCGAGGCAAAGGATTTCTTCATTCCTGGCCCGGATCTTCGAGAGCTTCACTGCCTGCCACTCACCCAAGATTCTGTCAACTTCCTGACAGGCACACGAGGCTTCATGCGTGATCAGCTATCGGTAAAGGACTTCGTCTGGGTACTGTCTCTACGACCTACTCTCAAAACATTGGCCAGCACAGATCGTCAAGAGGTTCTACGGCAATCACGGCTACCACGACCGTCTGTCATCGAGTCACAGGCACCGTATTTCTTCAGAGTTCACGAGTTCATCCTCGTTACACCGTCACCATTGGAGCACCAGATTCTCGGAATCGTTATCGAAGCTCAACGCAGACGCTACAACTTCGATCACGTCAACAACATCCTCGTAGCATTCCAAGGTTGCCATGATGCAAGTCCGCGTTTCACGGCGGATTTGCAACTTCTGTTTGTCGGAGGTTGATCGGGACACCCTTCTTCGAGCGACGGCACGGACCAACGTTTCTTGCGCAATGCGTTTTTCGCATTGGGCAGTTTCCCGTTCGGCTCAGCGGTTTCTTGTGAATGCAGCGCGTCGTTTCCTGCCGGCCCATCCCGATGAAGGAATGCTGCCGCTACGCGTCTTCCGCTTGACTGACGCTGACCTGCGTTGGGTCAGAGACCGCGAACAAGGATTTCTGAACTACTCTCGCAACCCGGAGAAGGCCAAACGACGTATGGGAAAACTATTTGCCGTAGCCAGTGCAGCACTTGCAGCACAAAGCTTTGGGAATGACGACAAGACCACCCACGAGACAACGGCATTCGTCCCGAGCTTGAGTGCTATCCCAGTCCGTCTGCAGCTTAGCCTCGATGCCATGCAGTCGGAAGGTGGATGGTCCCGATCAAGACGAGTGAGCACTTGGGTGATCGGATCCACTACTTTGGTACGAACTACGGTGGCTTCTTCGCAATTCCGTTCATCGCAGAGTACAGTAGAGATCGAACTCCACTCTTCCACTCATCACCACCAATCCCTGGTCAACGCCATACGTCGCTTTCGGAGCAGTAGACGAAAAGGACAACTCTGCGCGCGTTCCGGTCTGTGTACGACTCTGCCGCGAATCGACAGGAGCAGATCCCGTATTCGACATCCTGGCTTCGGAGTCCCCGTTAACATCACTGGGTTCGTTCAGTGCTCCATCCCTCGCTCGCACCGTTTTGGACGCCGTTTACTCAAGCCAGCCGCGTTCCAGTCATGCACACATGGTGCACCCGTCTCGCCTTCAGCCTATGTCGATCCGAGTTGGCGACTCCACGCTGCGGCTTCGCAACGACCAAACCATGGCTGTTCAGCTCGGTACCGAGGATCATCCCATCCTGGCCATCCAAGCCGCTTGTGGCACCGGGAAGACGCTGGTTGCTGCGGTGATTGCAGCTCGCCTTGCTTCTGCGGGTAATCTGGTCTTGGTTACAGCTACAACGAACGTCGCGATAGCACAGTTCACCGAGACATTACTTAAGCTCGAAGACTACCCCGCTCTACGCATTCTACGATTCCTTTCCGACACCGCACTGAAGGAGGGCGCCCCCACGACGCGCGTCGACCTCCACCACGTCCTTAAAGGCCTTCTGGCCAGCTTCTCTAACTCTTTAAGTGATGAGGAAACAGAGCAGCTGACAAGATATCGCCATGGACGCGAGCTCATCGAACGACTTCTTCTCCAGCCGCAGACTACTACTTCTCTGACGGACGAAGAGCGCGAGGAGTTTCGTATAGCCGAGAACCAGAACTCCGAGGCAACTGAGGAGGCCGTACGGATCATGTTACGAGTTCGCTTCCCCTCCATCGTATGCATCACCACCGCTTCGTTGCTGAACACGACACGACCCGGAGGACTGTTTCCCGATGTTCTGTCAACCAGCAAGGTCATCATCGGCGACGAAGCCTCGCAGATACCAGAACCCGCTTTCGTTGCTCTGCTCGGACGATTCACGCTGGCCAAGCATATCTACATTGGGGACGTTAACCAGCTGGAACCCCACATTCGCTGCCCTCGATCTTCGCTACCAGCTCGCTTGGGCGCTAAAGGCGTTATGGAACTGCTGATGAGTAAGGAAATTCCACTAGCTCGTCTCGTCACGACTTTCCGTTCGCATCCTGCCCTCAACGATCTGCCGAATCGCCTCATTTACGACGGCGCTCTGGTTAGTGGGATCTCTGCGCGACAACGTCAGATGCTCACTCGCCGTCTCAACCTGCCGAATCCAACATTGCCGTTCGTCTTTGTTGACGTGCCGGGACGATCGAGGTTATCCCCATCCAAGTCTCACTACAACGAGCAGGAGGCCAAGTGTTGCCAGGACTTGATTTTTGCCTTATTAGCGACGGAGATATCAGCATCTTCTATCGCTGTAATCACTTTTTATAAGGAGCAACAACGCCTCTTAGAAGCCTGCGCCGCACGCCACAGGGTGCAGCTGCACACCGTCGATTCTGTCCAGGGGAGAGAGATGGACATAGTGATTATTCTGACGACGCGCACCATGGTCGACCCCGATTCCGGAGAGTTCTTGGACGATCGTAAAAGATTGAACGTGGCCATAACACGCTGTCGCCACGGCCTATTTATCCTAGGTAACGTCCGCGCTCTCTGCACACTACACCATTGGGGAGCCCTGCTGCAGTACGCCCATGAACATCGCGCAATCATCGGAGCCTCACAGCTTCCCGATATATTCGCGTAGGTCCCACGTCATTCAAATAGGGTGAGTACTTTCAGTCGTTTTTTATTTTTCTTCATTTTCTTCATGTCTCAGCTTGTACCTACAAATCTTTTGGGAATAAGGCAACGTCCGAGGACGGACGTTTTTGTGAGGGAGGGGAGGTGTAAGGTCCGGGATGAGTGAGGTTGTTTCGAATCAATACAGTGGCAAGCTGAGTCAGCAAGTTGGAGAAAGCAAGAGCTGAGATGGATTCTACTGATTACAGCGCGACGACGTCACGGAGGCGGTGCGCAGTGGAAGCCGATGCGGACGGTATTGGAGAGGATCGACGACCCGCCGGACGGCTGCTCCGTCCCCCCCTCGGACCCACCGCTTCGCAGCCCGACGCTGCCTTCGTCGTACTGTGTCAGTATTCTGCCCTGGTTAATAAACGGTGAATGTTCTGTATTCGGTGCTAATGAAGGAAGAGGAAGACACCACCAAAACCACACTTAATATGTCTCCTTCATATAAAGAACAAAGGGTAAATACATATACATCGTTATTAGTCCCTTTTTAAGGTTCTGCAAATTCATACCCAATCAAAGTCTTACAAGGGAAGGATACCAGGTCGAAGTGGCCATTTGTAACGAGACATACACCACTAGATGTGTTTTTGGACGCTGATCTTGAATCTGCTCTCCAAATCTGCGGAACGATTCTCTGAACGTAGTTATGAAGCGAAATAGTGCAGTGGCAGCGGCCCGGCCGACGAACAGTAGGTCGTGGGATCGATTTCTTGGCGAGTTGTCAGTTTTGCTTTTCTTGAGAACATTGTTTAAAGGAATCTCATTCATGCTAAATCATCAGCGACTGCCTATCCTGCAAATGGGTAGAGCTGGCGAAGAGCTTCGAACACTATGCGCATCATTTGCCGTTTCCATTCGGTCGTGTGTCCCAGATTCAACTTCAGGTCTGTTTTAGATTTGAACCAAAGTCCTCGGAAGGGGTAGTCTGACACGCTGAACAAGAATATCATATCTGTTCGGCACGAAAGTGCCTGACACGTGCGCTACGAGTACCAGAGACGGTCATTTGCAAATGACGCGCATAGTGTTCGAAGCTCTTCGCCAGCTCTATCCACTTGTAGGATAGGCAGTCGCTGATGATTTAGCATGAATGAGATTCCTTTAAACAATGTTCTCAAGAAAAGCAAAACTGACAACTCGCCAAGAAATCGATCTCACGACCTATTGTTCGTCGGCCCGGGCAGCTGCCACTGCACTATTTCGCTTCACAACTACGTTCAGAGAATCGTTCCGCAGATTTGGAGAGCAGATTCGAGATCAGCGTCCAAAAACACATCTAGTGGTGTAGGTCTCGTTACAAATGGCCACTTCGACTTGGTATCCTTCTCTTGTTAGTGGAATTTTGAACGAATGTGGCCCATACAACGACTTGCGAGGTCAGCCTATGTAAAGGGCAGTGTCTTCATCTTCCAAGACAATTTTGTACCAAGCATGGACCTTGAAGGTGGGAGACACGGTAGTCTTATACGGCGCACAATCCAGGTCTCGATACCCGTGCCACACGTTGAAAGTGGCGCCACCTGTCAGTACACCACTTTTGCTGAAGGTTCCAAGTTGTAAATCCCCTCTCTGTTCCGTTTCACCTTTCTTTACTGTACATTGGATTGTGGCACAAGTAATGTCGTTTTTCAGTTAGAGATTTTTCTTTTGAAGCCCTATTTTTCCACATCATCTTGCATACGTTTCGTAAGAAAATTATCAGCTCTACAGAAATGTATTTCTTTTCTACCTGGTCTGAATAGCCGGCCTTCGAAATGGGATTCCAGTCAGGAGAAATTAGCCAGCTCGGCAACTAACTCAAGTTCCTTTTCTACCCTGTTCTTAGTCATGACCTCTTCGAACAATTCCATCACTATCACATCTTCCTCCATTATTTCGTCATCAAGATGATGTTAAGGTCCAGGATAGGTGGCAGTCATTTATAGCTCGACCAGGGGAATACGCTAAGAGAGGTAAGAAATCTTGCCGCAGCTCCAGAATTTCTTACCGGGCTCATTTCGGATCATGGTGATTCGCAATGTCATGAAAGAAATAAATATTGTCGCGGTACGAGGGCTCCTGACGAGCTGCCTCGGCCAGCTTCTGGAGTTCCGCAGCCTAGACCTCTACCTACACAATGGTGCCCATAACGAAGAATTTGTAGTGGAGCTTCCGTAAGAGCCCTACCTGTAATGGAGTGTAGGGACGCTGCTGGCTTCTTATAAAAATATCAAAAGATCGAAAGCGCTGGTAAAGGTGAAACACGCTGTAGCGGTGAACGGCATGCCTATTGAAGCTATTGCAGATAGTGTCAGTCGTTGACACGAATCCATAGTTATGGAGACATTTGTACTAGACAGTGACTCGGAGTACGGATTTACTAGTGGTCGAGGTTTTTTGAATTTTCTTGGATAACTACTGACTGCAGCACTTATATCCACCTCGTGGATTGAAGCCTCGAGAATGCTCTACCATTTGTTAGTCATAAATGTTACCTATGAATTTTTCAGAAAAAAAGAAAATTTTAGAAAGAGTGTCGCAGAACTTTCTTTCCAACCTAATTAGTTGTTTGTCAATCCTGTGCAACTTTGTCTATTCCGGATTCGGCTACCTGAATAATCATCTGAAAAAGCCAGTAAGGTCGGGATGAAGAGGGCATGGCCACTGTGCACGGAGCACACATGATTCGTGCTAAATCTGTGGACGAGGTTAATAAGTGGCGCCAAAACGAATCGAAATTCACTCTCAATCAAACTAGACAATGGGACATAATGGCTGAAATTAGTTGAAGGTCAGCTGCGAGATTAAGGTGTCCACTCGTGGCAGTTAGCTCGTTCTATGGTAAGTGTTATTACTAAAATTCATAACTCGATCAAAAATAGCCTGAAGACCAGAAGAAGTTGGTGGAGACATGCTGTGTCCAAGGCCGCTAAAAATGTCCTAAATAGGCAAAGATTCTATCTGAACTACGCTAATACCCAAAATTCCTCCTCGACCACGCTAAGGCCTGGAAATAATTAGTTACTAATATTTGTTGGGAAGTTAATGCGGACGTACTAATATCATTGAAGTTCAACTGCTATGATTTTACGGGTGTGGTTCACTAGGACAGAAAGCGAACCTTTTGCGCTTCTTAGCGCGAAACCTCAGGTCCACCTCTGATCATCAGTGAACCCGAGGTTCTCGCAGCGAAAAATCAGTGGATCCGCGGTTCACG